GACCCAACCGACTCATAATTCGAGCGACATGGATAATACATCCCATGCTCTCCTCTCTCCCAACCCCAAGGGAGCGGTAGAAAGCTCTCCTAGACTAGAAAGCAGAGAGATAAGCGGATCAGGAAGTCCGAACTACGAATATTCGTCTGGTGCTGTGACGCCATCAATCACCATTGACTATGATTCCAACCCAAGCCCCATAAACATGGACACAGAATCGCTGCAACCAATCCCTGTACAACCCACCCGAGCCGTTTTAGGCAACCTCGTCGAACGCACAAGGCAATCGATGTCCTTCCTCCCAAAACCCAGCTCGCGATCCCGTCAGTCTCTAGCAGCTAAGCCTCGAAAGTCCCAAGTGTTCCCTACAAACCAGTTTGAAACTCCGAAAAGGGACGGTCCCCGGAGTCTCGAATCAGGAGGCTCTGGGATGTCAACACCTAAGGAAGAACTATTTAGTCAGGATGCGGATTATGCTAGCGTGTTTAAGAGCAGGCCCAGGATTGCCATGAGCCCCGTCAATTCTCCAGCGGTACATATGTTACCAATGGATGATAGTGACATGGACGCGGATCAGACTATAAATATAGGTGCTGGAGTTGCTGAAGGGGACTTGCAAAACTCACCTCTTTTTGTGGCTCGGTTCACATCTAGAAAAATGAACTTATAATGTCTACCTCAATATTGTGTCATTTTCTTGACCTAACTCCGGTATTTTGTGGGTCTCTAATGTTCTTGAGTCGACATCCTTGACCCGCAACCCACCTGCCTATGCTACTAAATCCAGTCTTTAAAAACCATGAATTTTGGCTCTTGATCGAAGAAAACAACCCTGCGCGCGACCATCAGCACTTCGATCAACAGCATCGTGTCAATCTGTTGCCCCGCCAACTTTCCACGGATCCCAGGGTGATTGTAATCGCCTGGGAGGAATATTGTGTTTAGACAGTGATCTCCACAATGTCTACATATGTTAGCTAATTTTGGTTCAGCGATCACTCCATCCCATAAATGGAACTCATATCGACACTTAGGCTTTTGATTGCCGATAAAGACACAAGGCGCATCAGCCAGTTGACACCTTTTACCACTTCGAGACGATATATTCCTTCACGTTAGCCGTCTTAGGACCGCTCGTGTTACATATCCCAGCTTTGCATCCTATTCATTCCTGCACAACTAATATCCGGATAAATGAAATTATTCCCAGATCTTGACCTTCTTCGATTCCTTTTAATCACATCTTTCATACCAAATAAAGAACAGTGCAAATATTCGCCACATTGTTCATTATATTGATAGATAGTTTGTTGCCGTATGTTATAGAAGACAGAATGTTAAAATTAACTAGCACGCCCTAGAGAAACTTGCAAGCTCTCCTGCCAGGGGTTGCTATCTGTGCCCAACCCTCGTCCAATCAAGACGATTTTGCAAAGACCCCCCGAAGCTGATGTGTGCCTGCTATCAGTCTCCGTAATCTCAAATACTTCCTGAACTCCCTGGATGATCTGCGTACCGCCATCGGTTAGGCAGAGCAGTCCTTTTAGTCGATGGATTTCAAAATCTTCAATCTTCCGCAGGCTCGTATTTGTCGGCTGGGAATGAGGAAGTCGACGCTCCCACAGTAGCGAGCGTAGCCATGCGTCCACCTTGGGCACACACTCTTGGGATATCTTGTCAATTGTGAAGGAAAGCGTCGAGATTGACTGGATTGAGCAAATATCGTCAGAAAGGAAACGGCTAGCCCGGTGCATAGAGGAACAAAATTAAGGCAGACTAAGCATGACCTACGGGATCCAGATGACTATGGCTCTTCTGGTTGAAATCGACATTGCTCAAATTATCATAAGCGTGTATCTCAAGCAAGGTGCCTTCAAGATTGGGAACCTTGCTATGGTCCGTCACAATAATTTTAGCCAGACCGTTAATCGAGGTTATCCGTTCCTTAACATTTTCCAATTCAGTGGCTGTAATCAGGTCACTCTTATTCAGTATGATCACATCAGCATGCGATATCTGGAGATGGGCCGTAGTTAGAACTGTTCCATCGTGTGTACCCTGGGCTTCCGCCGGTGCTGGTTCATCAAGACGTTGGAGAATATTCTTCCCATCAACTACAGTGACGATCCCATCCAGGTAGATAGTACTTCCTAGTCCATCATCAACCCAAAATAATGGTGCAATATTGCCTGGATCGGCAAGCCCGGTTGTCTCCAGCAAAATGTAGTCAAATGTGCCTTGCCGCTCCATGAGCGACTCAATGGCGACTACTCCAGTGTCTCTGTCGGTGATATCAGCTGCGGGAGTACACACAAAAGGGAAAATATGCAATCAAAATATTTTTAACTTACCTAACGGAACAGCATATGCAGCCGTTTGCCAGCTCCAGCCATTCTTCAACTTGCTGGCCGTCTTTGTTGACGGTTAAGGATTTTTCAATATCAATTGCTGAATTGTCAGTACTAAGTAAGAAAAAGGTTGATAAAAACCGTACTTACAATCACCAAACTCTACAAATACCGTCAGAATCCGTCAGCAAGTGTTATAACGTGAAAAACATGACTCGGGCCAGATGGTTACAAGCCGTTTAAAATCACCGCTATTTTTTTCCCATGCTCCTCTCCAAGGATATAGTTAAGCAGTGTCGTCTTGCCAGCGCCCAAATAGCCTACCATGGACTCTTTTTAGCCAACCGCACTCGTATTACATTTCTTAACCTGAAATACCCGCAGCCTACATACCTGTTACTATTGTGATGGGGACTTTCTTCGGCTTCTGTTCAGTGGGAGACTTGGGCACTGACTCCTCCTCGAGCACGTCAACATCAACCAGTTCAGGCGGACCTCCCTCATGGTCGTCTCTAATGTCCATACTTAATTTACTTTTCTGTAGCCAAACAACAATATCCGGAGGAGGAGCTGGACAGCATTGCTCCGGTAAATCAACTCGTCTAGAGATGAGATACTCCGCCATGTTTGGTAACTAACTACGGGGAGTTGCCGTACAGGATTTAACGCCAACCCGATCAGGTTTAGCACAATATCACGTTCTGGACTATATAAACCCGTGGACCCTTTCCTTCCACTGCTCAAACATGCTTGCATGTAGGCTCGAGTCCCATGGAGCGGAAAGCGATGGTTTAGCATATCGTATAATATATGGCTCTAGTTTGCCAGCGATATCATGAAAATATGGTTGTATCCGAAGGCATTCGAGACACCAAGCTGTGTATATTCCAAGCCAATCGAATTCTGGGGGAACCACCGCGAACAGAGCTGAAAATCTGGCCCCCACTGACCAGGAGGGGACGACCGACGCAAACCACCCTTTTCTCTGTCATACTAGAATGTATATCTCCGCCGACACCTATCTGATCGAGGAGCTGAAGTCTTTCTTATTCAAGAAGATCACTCGGTATCTTGAAAATGAGAAAGACCTGACATCGACTCTAAACTAGCAGTCATTCATATGCTTGACTTGGCATTCCCGAATTTACCTCCCAGCGACAATCTGCTAGGCCCACTCAATACCTCAGTAAGGTCCCCTCGGTCGTCCCTTTGAATCTGTATGTTCCCTAGATGCTTCCACCTTTGGACCGAAGAAGGGCTTCGTGGATCTTCAAGATCTGTGACTAACTGCAACACTGAAAACCTACGACAGAGTCCAAAAAGCTGCATAAGCTCGTTATCATCTCATTTTCTGCAAGCATG